TAAAGCTCCTGAAACATCAACAGGATAGATTTGTCTGTGTAAAGGTGTTATTATTATATCATTATTAAGTAAGGCTTCACGAAGCCCCTGGCAAGGCTGTAGAATTTTGTTTTGTTATTATCTCACAGCAGATTAATAAACCACCATAGCTAAAATGCCAAAACTGGATTTATTATATTCAAAGCTGAGCCCGACAAAGTTTTTATGTGATTAAACCAGGTGTATAATTGTCTCGTCAGGCTCAATCATAAAGTAGGTCTGCGGCAGTGAACCATCTCAACCTTGCTACTCGACAACCTTGAGTTTTGCCTTATTTACCAAAATGAAGCTCTGAATATCAAAGCAGAATTTTCTCTCGCCGCTGTAATTTAGGAGTGTAAAGGAGTATAAAAACCATTTTACACACAACACACAATAGAGGCTGAAAGAATGCGCTTCACAGACATGAGATACATTACAACTTTTCTTAGTTATTCCAGTTATGTCTTTTATAATTTGTAAATATGATCCAGCAACACACGTCACTGTGATCTTAAAATAGTTCTGACATTGAGGTGTTAGATGTCATTATAATTAAATCATCATTTAAATTCATTAAAGAAGAAAAGTCAGATGTGTGTGTTGTTGTTGTAGGTGTGTAAAGTAAAGTGCGTGGAAGCTCGTGGAGGTGCGCTCCGGTTTGTCTTCTTGGATTATTGAGTTTTCATCAGCCAATATTACCTAATGAGCTGTGAGGAGCGTGTATGTGTTGAACGGAGTGGGAGTCAATGCTGTTCTGCTTCCAATATTTCTCTGCGTTTATACAAAGAACAGAACTGGTATTTTTACAGTGACTCTGTCAGGTGGCTCTGAAATCTGGAGGGCGATGCAATAAATTCTATCCTGGTGCAATTTCTAAACATCTGTGGAACAATACTGAAGGATGAGCTGCTCACATTGTTGCTTCTTGTCACATACATACCATTCTCTCTCAACAGTAATTCTGCTTAATGAGGATAATCCCTTAAATCAGACTCGTATTGTCAGTATTGAGCTGATAGCATTTTATTTCCTTATCATGCTGATCTATCATCAGTGTGTTCTGCTGATAAACATCAAAGACACAAAGGAGAGGGATTATAGATCGCTGCAGAGAAGAAATCACATTAAATTATACATGGTGTCTAAGCTCTGTATCTGGCATTGAGATGGTAATATCACTCAACTCAGTTTGCTTTAATAGATCACCATCCTTGCCATTAAATGGCAGCTGGAAATATATCAGAGTCCTGTACAATCTATGTAGTCTGAGGTTTATCTAGATTTACCACCTTGTAGCTGTATCTCAAAGCAAAGTTTCAGTTTAAACCTTTAAAGTCTATCCAGACTCACAACATAAGACTGAAAAAAAATATTAATTATATTATCACATTTTTTCAACAAAAAAAAGTTCACGTCGCCTCGTAAAACGGGTACAGGAAGTTTATATTAATGTTGCATATATATATATATATATATATATATATATATATATATATACATATATACATCATATTTGAGAGACAGGCAGTGACAGATAATTTTCATTGTCTTTATGCTGTGAACCACACATGGTGCACAGGGATAGTAGGTGAGACCCCGACTCTCTAGAAGAGCAGCTCAGCTCGCATTATTTAACATTCATATCTCCTTCTAAACCTGTGATTATATATTCACTTGTGAATCACTCCACTGTGATAGTTATGCTATTTTAGGTCATGCTCAGCTCATGTTTTCTGATGTGTTATTAGCACATTAGTCTCTGTCTCACCTTCTGGGTCTGTAGTCCTGTTTAATATTGTATTTCTGTCTCTTCAGGTTCCTGTTTTGAAGTTTTGCACGCAGACTGGAATCAAACCCAACAATGTCCATTAATACTGCATCTCCACCACAGTGATTTAGCCTCATTGTACCAGCTGTTATCAGCTCTGCTGCTGCAGTGACATGTAATAATGTTTCAACTGTAATTTTAGCAACGAATAAAGCTTAATGAAATACATTTTCATCACCTACGGAGAAGAACGTGAATGTGTTGACTCTCAAGCTTTTGGCGAGAGCTCAGTACAGCTGAAGCTGATTTGCACAACTCGCTGTCTGATCTGAACAAGTGTGATGATCACAGTGTATCTTAGAAACAGCAAACACTCTCCGTACATCCAGAGCCAAGTGCTGCAGCCAATCAGCCTGAGAGATATATCAGTGTGCTTTAATGTAACAGACCAAAATTAGCAGGTATATGTGGGGGGTTTTATACGTGGGTAAACCTGCGGGAAAAAAATTTGCACTTTCACCCTAGTGTTCTATCCATGCAAGAGCCAATAAAAACCTTTGTATAAACTGTAGTCATTTTACCTGGGAGTGAATGCTGACTGTATCCATTCCCATAGCAGACAACAGCCAGATATTTGTGGGGTTTTTGTGGAAAGGGGGCTTGAGTCTGAAGTTACACCATTGCTTAGCAGGCCGAGTATTGGGAGCTTACCTGTTGGCCGCTGCTCTTTAGAAATGAATTGGTGCAAACTGTTTATCCAACATCTTTAGATACTTTTTCTTAAAGAAAACTGTGACAAAAATTCTGACTTTCTATAAAATCATCAGTGCTGAGAGCGAGAGGCACGACTTCTGTGTTCAGTGACAGAAAGGTGGAGCAGCACAGCAGACAGAGGCTGTGAACAATGTGACAGACGACAGCTGCTTACAGACATGCACTGCAACCCTGAACTATTCCAGACGGCAACTGGACCCAAACGTCAGGATCAGTTGAAGCGGACATTAGGTGGACTTGATCCTGCACCCTCCCTGGTACAAAGTCAGTGTACTGTCTGTTTGAGCCGATGTGCAACAGATAAATCAGCTCAAACTAGACGGAATGTTTTTGTTAGAATGTTTATATGATGCAACACAGTGTGCTGTGTTTCCATAATCTTCAACTACGTCCTTGATTTTGCACATATAAGCACTCTGGCCACATACCAAGAATTTTGACTTGGTATTTCTTTGCTAAAAAATGTATCAAACAATGTGCCAGTGTGAAAGGATTTGCTTTTAGTGATGAACCAAAGGAGCATTATCACCTGAAGCTGCAGCTCCTCTCAGCTTTACAGAGCTTCATAATAAGTCTCAGCTGTCAGGTAACAACTTCACTGTTTGATTCACTTGAATCGTGACTTTCAGCTGCAGCAAGAAGCTGTTTGTAAAGAAATAGCGTCTGCACAGCACCAAAACAGCAGACTGTTCTGTTGCTCCCCATGTGGTCGAAAAAAGACAAAACAAGAGAAAGAAAGGAAAAACCTATTGTTACAAGCTTTCAAATGAATTAAAATCGTTCTACATTGTAGAGCTGTCCACAGCCCATTGATTCACTTATTCTGAAGACACATATTAATGTCAGGTTTGATCTGACTTATTTATAGAAGTCAATATGTGATTGAATCACCCAAGACACATGTTAATGTCAGTGTTTATTGATCACTAACATTCTCTTATGATGATATAACACTGATCAACACTTAACCTGTCTAATGCATCATATGTTTACTCTAGTTGCAGTGATGGTGGAGAATGATTCAGTGAACAGTGGGATGATTGTTCATCTGTGAACTAGATTCACTCCTACAGGCTAAAAAGGCTGAAGAGGTGTTTTGGATTAAACCTCCTGTACAATAAGACACAACAATGTTTAAATTGTGCCAGCAGCATTGAAATGATCAATTAAGATTCCTATTAAATAGCAGCACTTTGCATCAGTGGGATTTGAGGATGTTTCTTTATTTCTGTTTGGAAATATAATTGATTAGTAGTTATAGCGAGTATATGCTGCAATTTCAAGCTGCTTCATATTGTGTAATACTTACTACTTCTAAAAGCACTAATGTAGGCTGTTTTTGGGCTTCTGCATCTCCAAATTTAACTAATTGCATTGAGGATGCACCAAAAAAAAAACCTTGCTAGCAATAAAAAGCAAAAACCTGCAGAATGCTGCAGGGGCTGGACATAGGTGTGGTTCAGGTGGGTGACACCACAGTGTTTGTGTGAGGGTCAGGCGTCAGGGGACAGGTGCTCGACAGAGGTCACAACAGACAGCGGGTCATAAATATGGGAGAAAGGCTGATCTGGCCTACGACAAAGGAGAGGGCGGCTCTACTGTAATAGGTGATAAATGTCAGCGTCTCCCTACAGCCTCAGATGAGTGATCGTTAAGCAGCTTCCTGAGCCTGAGCTGCTGAAGCCTCGAGACCGACTGACAAGCAGTAGAGGAAACATTTACACGGATAGAATGGCTTGTTTGGATGACACCCCCCCTTCCCCGCTGTCGCCATAGGCAATACGAGAGGGGTGATTAATCAGGTTGTTAGCATGTTTGATGGAGAATAGATGAGGGAGGAGAGAGGAGGAATGCACGCGCTGGGACGAGAGGAGGGTGTGAAAGGTAACAAAGGGAAGAGGGAAGCTCTGCCGCTGTAATTCATCGAGGGTTACTGATCCTCTGGGGAGCAATAATTTCAATAATTTATAAAGTAACGGGCCTTGATTGCAATAATGTCCCCATAGCAACTATTATCTTTAATGACTATTATTATGACCGTCATAAAATGGAGACTGGAGCAAGTCTTATTAAAATTAAGTATTATGCAACTGCACCTTTGCAGGCCGTCAATGGTGTAAAACTTTAATTTTAAATTCGGTAATTTTTGTTAAGACAGATGGGTGAAATGCAGAATTTAACACAGGTGCTGGAAATGTAAAACTGTTTATTAATAATAATTATTTTGATCTGATGTGCTCAGTGAACATTGATGACCTTCCTTGTATTCTCAAATGAGATATATGTTTTTGAAAACTGTATTTCGTGTGATTTATTTATTGTTTAACTTAGTTTATTGCATTTATATCATATTGACAGAACAGATGTTGGTTAATGACTTGGGTGAAGGCTCATTGTTTAATTGTTCAATCAATATACAAAAAAAAACGAGACCTACTTTTGGAGACTCTTGAGACTTTCCTCTTAACATCACCACCACCCGAACCTCCACAACCGTCCTCATCATCACAGTCCCCGCTGTAACGTCCCTCCGCGTCTCCACTGCCTGTTTCAATCTGGTCCAGCGAGCCCAGTTTAGGAATGGACTTTCCCTGCAACAGCTGGTTAGGGGGAAAAAGAAACATCACTTGTTATTGTTTTATAAATGCAAATTGTTTAAAAGTACTTATATTTTGGGTCAGTGGTCCAAAAATCATTCACTTTTAATATTCACAGCAAGAAACAGTGAACAAAGTCCTCTAATGGGCTCTAGAGGACAAAATAGAATATAAAAACAGCAAAACTAATTGTACTGCAGATGGAATTCTGTCTGGTTTTTTCTGCCATCCTGACTTCTTAACACAACTTTTAAATGAAAGGCATTTAAAATAGTCTGTTTCTTTTTGTTTGATTAAAATGAAATAACAACTCTACAAGGCTGGTGGATTAATGTTTCCTAAAACAACTCAGAGCATCTACAATAACTTTTATCGCCACCACCTACAAGCGCCACTTTAATGAATCAACAGGGCGAGTTACATGACGTTCACCCTACTCGGCTGCGGTGACCTGCAGGTTGACTAAAGTTTCCGCTGTACCGCTGTGGAGGAGAATCTCAATCAAAGGCTTTGTGAACTCGACACCAGGGGAAATGCATACGCTAATTGGCTCATTTAAATTCACGGTACGTCACTGGAAACAAGAGAGAATGCTCTGTGTTGATCATAAAGGTAGTGTCTATGCTAATTAGTTGCTGTTGTGGTTCATTGCAGGGGAGCTGCAGTGTCAGGGCTGTGACTACGGCTGAGCTGGGACATATCTGCGCTGGTAATTAGCCTGTCTGGAGTCTGTGCTCCTCAGTGGTCACAGGTTGGAAGACAGAGAACATTATGGATTTGGGTAATCTCAGCGCTCCCTCCATGTGTGTAATTGCCATGACTTTCTTTGCAATTACATCAGAAATCAGACCAAAACTTTAACACGTTATGTGGAATAATGAGTTTCTGGGGTGCATGCGATTAGCCTGGTCTAGGAGCTTAAATTAATTGATTCACTGAAGTCCAGGACGTGAAGGACTGGTCAGGGAAAGTACTCCAACTTCCAAGTCCATACACAGTCAGTCGCTTGTTGCATCACTTGGATATGACCCAACAACAACAACGTATTCTGAAAATTGGGACACAAACAGCAGTCTCTTATGAGACAGTGTTCTCTCCATCCATCCATCCATCCATCCATCCATCCATCCATCCAACACCTACTTTGTTGCTCTCACCTTATTTCTTTCTTTTTTTTGATCATAATTACTAAAGATGGTCGAAACATAACTATTAACTCATATTTATTTTTATTCCATTTATTGTTGTCATATTTTTCTATATCTCCTTACATTCATAAGTATTGCATACTACTGATGACTTTTGACTTCCCTCTTCCCTGGCACATTGTACAATTCCCCACTGTGGGACTAATAAAGGATTATCTTATTGTTAGTTGTTATAACCTGCTTACAGAGGCCTTGGTATGTGCAGTTAAAAACAGACTACTCTGAACTCGTTTTCAAAGGAGACAATATCGTCCAGTGATTAATCTTCATATGGGAGACAGTGTGCAGCCTGAGCTTTAAGATCCACTTATAGAAGGAAGTGACAGCTTCAGATGTGTATAAATGAGACACATGTATGTGTGAAAGAGGAAGAATTGCAGCTTCTAATCATACATGCAGAGATGAATCACATGACCTTAGGTCAAGCCACAATTCCCGACTTTGTTCTCTGGAAACTTTGATATATGAGGAGAATCATGGGAGAGTTGACCTGACCTCATTGATACACGGAAACATTTCTAAATCATTAATAATCGACCAAATGCATATTTTATATTCCCACTTCAACCCTACAAATTGGACATATACAATTTGTCATGCACACACTTTGAAGGAACAAGAACCAACTTTAAAATGATTAATCTGGTTATATTCCATATTTTTCTTACTATCAATAAAACCTAAAGAAGGCTAAAATTAAAACCAAGCACAAATAAATGCTACTAAAAAGCCAAAGCCTGATAATGCTCATTTCCCTGTGATGTTTAGCTCTGTTGTTGTTTTTGAAAATGGTTTGAAACCTTAAAAAAATACACAAATTAATTACAATGCTAATTGGGTTTTTTTTCCAAATGAGTTGGTACAACATAAGTTTAAGTTGAACAAACTTTATTGACATGTCACCAATTGAAGTAATATTCAGCTTTTTGGGTTCAGCTTTTAAGAAAAATAATGTGTATGGGATGGTTTGAGCATGAAATGGTCGGAAGTGCACCTAAAGCTGCAGCTACTGCAGGAGGACTCATGCCTCTGTACGCGCAGGTCCCATGCTACAAAAAAAGAATATCACCAGCTTTATATTTTAATATCCAAATGATCTATAAATGGACTAAATTGAAAGCAGCTTATAAAATGAGTTAACAGTAATGAGGGGGTGAAAGAGAAATGTAAACAGCTCTCTGAATCGTGGAGTACAACACCCGCAATTCATAATTTATCAAAATGTCTTTTATAAATTTAAAAGAAGACCCAAACATGTGTTTGGGTTTATGTGGTTGCCGACTGATGACGCAATTTGCATCAAACAGTGGTGAATAATTCATTGGGTCTTGCTAGCTAATGGTTTTTCACAGCAAACTCATTTGCCGCAAAGCCGAGGAAACATTTGTCATGTTTGACCAGGTCTGTCAGCAGACAGCTCAGCTCCTTTACTCCTCAGGACCGGGGTACGAACGGCTGCTGCTCTTTCTGACACACAATGATGTGAGCACCGAACGGTCTAACTGTGGTATTAGCCTCACTTCCTCGGATGACATGGGGGTTTTGTCTAACGCCGGCTGTGAGACAGGTGCTCTGACTCATTCAGTGCAGCTCCAGATGAGAAGCAGCTCCGAGCAGGCACCCCTGGGCACGCCTGTGGCTGTTACTGCAGCGTGTGGAGAGTTAGCACAGACCAAACAATACCAATTATTCTTTCCACAAACACAAATGTCCATATGCTAATAAACTGCTCGACTGCACACTTTGTAGGAATTTTCTGAACCCAAACTGTTTTCTGTTCTTTATTAGTAGTTGTATTCTAACACCCCCCCGGCCATGTTAATTTACTGCAGCTGCTGCTCATAATGCAAATTCAAACACCTTCCATTTCTGTCAGTTTAAACACATAAAAAACAACAGGAGCTAATTGTCGTAATCAAATGTTTCAATCAGTGACTTATCCGCTCTAATTGTGACGTTTCTTGAATTTCTTTAATTTCTATATTCAGTGGTGGTCGTCCCTCTGGCACTAACGCACCTTTGATTAGCCTCTCCTGAAATGTCTTTCATGAAACTGGCTGATTGGAAGAATTATTATAATTCAAGGGCTTTCACAGCAAAAGCATAAGGTTGAGATTGTGCAGAAAAAGACAACTATTAGCAATGAGACTGTTAAGCACTGCACTGATTCACCACCGGACCGATACACTGATCTCCACAAAGTGCCTCCGGTGAGTCTTCCTTTGAGGAGAGGTTAAGGTGGCATCAATTTAACAGCAGGGGAAGGTCGAAAGAGTTTGTTTTGTGCATCTGTGAACTCCCAGAATCGACACTCCATCTCCATCACAGAGGATGAGGACGGCGAGGTAGGAAATTATTGTTGTGATTAAGCTTTTTTGTCTGAAACCACTGTCCGCCGACTTACCCAACCAAAAGCTTGCAGCCATTTAGAAACGGTTTACAAGGGAAGAAGATCCCAGTGCAGATCCACCTCTCGACTTAGTAATAAGAGAAGTAGTAAAGTAAATGCACCACATTGGTAGCTATGGCAACAACGACCCCAGTCAGTTAACATTTTATCAGCTGTACTCTGGAGTCACTGTTTGATCAAAGGCAGGAGACACAATCAGGAGGAAAGTGCTGAGAGTCTGCTGTTTGCCTTAAGCAATAATTAAGATAAAACAGCACTGGCTTCAGGAGGTGAGAGTTTAATGGAAATTAGGAAACTGGTCGAACAACGCAAACAACAGATATGTTTCTTTTGAACATAGCACGCTCGTTTAATACATGTTCTTTAGGTGATTTATCTTAAACTCACCTGTTAGAAAATGTATTAAGACGCATGGCACTGGGGGAGACAATTTTGATCTATTGGTTGGTCCAGGAAGATAAAATATCTGGACATGATTAATTTCCAATTAAATTGATCTAATTTTCAAAATAAATAGAAAACAGAGCCTTCAGGCTCAGCTGTGCTTTGTCTCCAGCACTCATCAGTGAACGTTAACAAGCTGAACTAAGATGACAAGTTTCCTGCTTTGATTTATTATTTGTGAAATCCCCCATTGCTCCACGTGAGTAGTATATCTTTTTGAATGGGACACATTTGTGGCCATGTGGATGGCTGTTTGTCGACACTATGATGGACTGGCGGCCTGTACCCCGCCTCTCGCCCAATGTCAGCTACGATTAGCTCCACCCCCTCCTGCGAACCTCTAAGAAGAAGCGATATAGATCCCTGCCTTTGATAACCTGTGACCTCCCTACCCTCACTATTATCTTTATCACCTGACTCATCTTCAAGTTTCTAAACCCACCGCTGTACACTTAGCAAACTTTTTCATAACACCAGCTGCTTCCTGAGAAAATCACAACACAGGCTTTCGTTTGTGAGGCGTCTCAAAAGATTGGGCACGGGGGACCAAGGCTGTATCACACGGTATGGCTTGGCAGTTGTGGATGCATAGGACTGGAAACTGCGGCAAAACGTTATAAAGGCTGCATCAAAAATTTACTGGCAGAGCCCGACTGTGCCTCTATGATATCTTCATTACCCGCTGTACAAGGAAAGCCCAAAGCATCGGCAAGGACACCAGTCATCCAGCCCACACACTATTCTCACTGCTGCCATCTGGAAAATGCTACTGGAGCATTAAATCACGCACCACCCGTTTCAGAGACAGTTTCTTCCCACAGGTAGTCAGGATAATGAATTGTACACACACACACACACACACACACACACACACACACACAGAAAGAAGTACATTCACATTCAACTTAAACATGCAATCTAGATAGTTCTATGTATAGCGC